AATCAAAATGCATTGTTTCTCCACACGTGCTTACGTTATTTCTTTTCCTTAGGAAGAAGCGGAGTTTAAGTCTTGTCCCGCAAGTGTGGGCCACACTTACTGACTTGCCTCTAATGAGCAGGACACAGTAGACGCAAAGGGACGCTACTGTCCAGCTTACATTATTGTGCTGGTCCCTCCGTCTTTGTCTCTTCCGTCTCTATGATCATTCTCTTTGGAGAAAGCCAGCTACCACGTCACACGAGCAGCCCTGTGGAGAGCCCGTGAGATGAGAACAGAATCTGCGTGCCCAGCTGTCTCTAGTCCCTCTGGATGTGCCAGTGGCAGCTGGGAAGCAATTTCTCAAGGACCTTCCAATGGCTGCAGTCCCAGCTCAAAACTGGACTGCAACCTCACGACCATCTCAGAGCCAGAGTCACTGAGTTAAGTAGTTTCTGGCTTCCCGACCCTCCACAGCTGCCTAAAGTCACTGCTGATTCGGGGAGGAACATGGTGCCCAGCAGTAGGCAACTGTTACAATGGGTAAGTCCTAACACATTTTCTCTTTTCTCTCCACCCATCCAGGACCTTTATCTTTTCAAGAAATTGGCTAGAAACCACAGCAGCTTCAAGCCAAAAAGAGCCAGGAAGAAATTCACAGGGCTACGGTTTGAGATTTTTGTCCACATCTTAGCTGTGATCTTTAGTGACTTATCTAATTTTCTTTTAACCGTAGTTTCTTTAGACACATACAGGGAAAAGCAGAACCTACCAAATAAAATATTAGAATTAAATAAGATACTAAAAGTGTTTAGTATAGTCTTTGCTAAGTGATAATTGCTCGATAAATGTTAGCCATCTTAAGACGTTATTATTTTTGTTCAAAAACAAAAGTTAAGAGGTTGCCCAGGTAGACATTCAACCTCACAGAGTAAAGCACGCAGCCAGTTTCCCACCACCTCTGTGCACAATGAAACAGCCTCCTTCCCAGACTGTCAGATGGCAGACCACCTGCAGGGCCATCACTTGCCTTGAAAAGTGAATGACCTGCAACAGAAAGTCAAACTGAATTCTGCTCCGGTCCAGAGAAACTCTGGGGGTGCATCACCTCTGAATCACCCACAGCTCTCAGGTCACTCTATAACCCCGAAGGCCATGTGCCTGGCACAACCACCAGGTCACAGAATAAATCTTTCCACAATGGACACCACACAGCATCTTGTGGCCAGGAGCTGTCTTGTCCTGAACACACCGGACGCATAGGTGCAACACACCACACATTCATTTTGTATTCAAATATACTGTTCAAGTAAAGGCATTGGCAAACTAAATAATCCTCAAATAATACTGGATATTCTTTGTTTGCAATGGAAAACCAGAAAGGGCAAAAACTTTAACCTGATGATAACTGATGCCTATCAGATCTGAGAAACACAACCCAGAACAATTTTTAATTTTTCCCTCTGCACTTTCCCACTTCAGGCAAAAGAGATGCGTTCCGTCAAATCAGATTCTGGTGACAGAAGGAATCACACACAGGGCTGCGCAACCCCTAGAACCGCCTGCGCTGACTTCTCTTTCCTGTAGGAGCTTTAACATTCCAGGGATCAGCTCCTCAGAGGCAGGGCTTTAACCTCAAAAAGGCGACCAAAGTTCAGAACAATGTCCTTGGGCAAAATCAGCCAGCCCTTCTGTTTAAACAAAATGTGTACTTTGTAGTCATCATTTCATTAGGCAGAAAATTAACTCCCAATTTTATTAGGAACATAAGTGTTCTAGACAGCAACTGAAGAAAGATAAATTTTTAAAAGATTACCGTGAAGGAAAAAAACAGTTATTCAAAACCATAGGTACATGACACCAAACACAATAGCTTCTCACCACATCTTATTTCTGGTCAGTGAGGGTGGAGGGACAAGGGCTGGGAGGAGGACTGCCTGGAAATAGAGAGTGATCACAAAAAAGTGATTATTTGTAAGGATCCCAGTGGATTTGTGGTACAGCAGAGGTTATCTGGAGCCCCTAATTGTCATAGCTCTAGGAATTTTTTTTTTAATTCCTTGCAACTCAAGATTATTTGCAAAATCACTGCCTGGTACTTGTAGACTTACTGAAGGAACAGTAAATAAGGTAAAATGTGGAACCTGAGTCTCCCCATCCATAAGCCACAGCCTCTTCTGGGTAAGTGAGGCCTCTGGCAGGACCAGCCCCCAAACTGCTTACTCAAAGGTCTAAGAAAAGCCCTTACCTGCAGACTATTCTATTGTCTTTCTCTGTTAAAATGAAGCCCATTCTTTGAAGTTTTATCTGACTACTCAGTTAACACTGATCTCTTTATCTTGAATGTCAAGTTTATTCATAGCGTAGATCAATGCACTGACAATTAATTAAATACTTCATATGTTCACTGATTTATCATTTCTGTGTTTTTTTCTCTTCTGATAAAAATATATAAAGAATCTGTTAATATTTTACAAGTTTGTACTTGTGTAATATTTTGCAACATTTTTAAAGTTATATTTGTTATTATGAAAAATTATCTTGTTCCTCTAATATATAAGATGTCAAAGTGCAGAGCCATAACTCACTATGATAGGAGGCCCTGAAGTAGAATTTGAAACCTTATGTAACAACAATAGGAATAAAATCTGGCTTCAAAGTTCAGATGAGAAAAACAGGAGAGGTGAGTCGGAAAGCCAGACCTTGCAGAAACTGGTTCGTTTTTCTGGAAGACGGATGGGATGGGTCGAGTCTTCCTGTAAGTGGCAATGGATCCCCATCTTTAAGCCACAATATTGGCGGAGGAAGGTAGATGGAATGCCAGAGAAAGAGCAGCTACTCATGACTACAGCTAACCTAGTTACCAGATACACATACAAAAATCAATCATTTTCCAATATACCACAAATATTATGTTAAGGATGTGGAGAGGCAGACCATTTATAAAAGCAACAAAAATATAGAATCATCTATATGTTGACTTAATAAGACATAAAAGGAAGCTTAAAGAAATGGAGAAATATACATGCACCTGCACAGGAAGACATAATATTACCAAGATGATAATTCTCCCAAAATTACTCATAAATTTCATGCAAATCCAATGAAAATTCCAATGGATTTTTTCCCCTTAGAATTGGGAAAAAAAACAATTATGACTCTTATAAAATAATGTAAAAAATGGTCAAACAGAAAAAAAAACAACTGTTTGGAAAGGAAGAGCAATCAGGGTAGACTTGTGCTTCCACATTTTCCATAGATAAACATGGTCAGGACACTGGACAATAATTTTACCAGTGGGAGTGGACATGCACTCACACATGCCATGCACTCACACATGCCCAAGTGTAAGCATTTAGCAGATGATGAATGTGGCATGTGAGACAGCACATAAAATATAAAGAAATGGCACTGGAATAGTTGGTGAGCTATTTGGAAAATACACAGTTGAACTCCTAGTTGGGTGCTTTCGGGTCCCTTACAAATCTACCCAGACTCAGGAGACCATCTATATGTTTGCGTATTGCTCTCGAGTATATTAGTTTATCTTGGGCTATACTTCACTCTCCTAACAAGTAAAAAGTTCAATATCCCTTGTTTGACATGGCTTGTAACTTCCCCTGCTTCCTAAGTAAAGTTCCACCTATTTCTCTGATGGTAATAGAGTATATTTAAAAATGTATGAACTTCCCTTGCCTAGATCTTTGCTTATGTACCATTCATTCTTTGATTTCAACATTTAGTTACTATTCCCGCATTTAATATCTTCTGCTTCTGCCTGTAATTTCTTTCATACGCTCACATATCACACTAAGCTCTGAACACCCATTTGTTCATTTGCCTAAAACAAAATTAGAAATAACTTTACCGAGAAGCTGGATGTCTCCAGCCTTTTGACTAACCTCTGATAGTTCAACCATTTCAAAGGCCAATCATATCAAATGCCAGAGTTTCTGCCATGATGCAACTCAGAACTGCATTTTGTAATCTGTTCCATATGGAACCACATAAACCTTAAAGAATTTCAAATGAGAATCGTTTGGTTTAAATCTCACTAACTTTATGATATCAATACATCAACTAACTGGTTTGTGACTTAGTTTCCACATTTAAAAAATTATCTTTATTGTTGAAAGAATTACAAAGGATGTTTTGGAGAATAAATGAAATGATAACATCCTTTGAGGAACAGCAGGAAATGGAAATATACTCATCTCAAAAATGTAGAAACTGCCGGGGGGCAGGAGCGGTGTGGAGGGGTCCATGAGAGCAAAAAAGGGGACACCTGTAATACTTTCACCAAGGCTCTGAACAAGGAGGAAAGGGGAACCGCCTCAGGTCTGCAGGGACACGGCGCCCACACCCCCCAGCTTCTGGGATCTCCGCCCGTATCCTCCCAGCCACCACCTTGTCATCTTTGCCTGAACTGTCCCCACACACCAGTCACCTCAGACTCAGGTGAACTGGCTGATTAATTTGCATTTAGGACACAAACCTAAATCCTTAGGTTTGTCAACAACATCACGAAAAGCATGTTCCCTCTGGAACTCACCAGTTCCATCTCACATCTCGGCACTCTTGGGTTTCCTGGACTTAGCCGCGCTGACCATCCTTATTTCCCAGCATGCCCTCTGCCCCTCCTGACCCCGGGCCTTTGCACAGGCCTTCCCAAGTGCCTGGTTCTCTCTAATTGCTCAGGGGCATTTCCTCCAGCAAGAATCAGGAACCCACCTTGCACTTCTCGGCCACACGCACGGCATTGCGATCCCTGTTCACACACTGGTTTCCCCACCAGATAAGAGCTGTTTCCAATCTTTGCATCCTTAACATAAGCATAGCATCTGACACCTTGAAAGCATTTTGTAATTGTACTGTGAGTGAAACCTCATTTCATATGAAGAAAAGCTATCCTTGTTAAAAACAAATGTATACTTTTGATACATTACAAGACATATTATTTTCACAAAAAATGCTTTTCAAAGGAGAAGTGTCATAGAAAATAGACATGAGCATTTCCTTACTTTTTTTGTTTTGCCCATTGCCTTCAGGATGGAAAGATTTAGGTCTTCAAGTGCCACCAGGACATTTTCATACTCTCCTAAGTGCTGAGAAAAATATTCTGAAAAGTAAAAATATTCATGTGAATTCATGTTTGCATTTAGGTTACCAGAAGGGTGGGGGGAGGTAAATTGGGTCAAATATATGGTGATGGAAAGAGACTAGACTTTGGATGGTGAGCACACAATAGACCATACAGATACCACATTATAAAGTTGTACACTTGGAATTTACATAATGTTGTTAACCAATGTCACCCCAATACATTTAACTTAAAAAATAAATTGGTGCCTTGCTCATAATGAGAGTTATCACCAGAAATAACTTTTTATGTCCTATATACAGAGCACGGCAAACTTCTGTTACTGAATATCTGCTCTTATTGTCCTGCAATGACCTCCTCCCCTCTGACGCCCCAAGCTCCTTACCCCATCCAGATGTGAATGAAAAGGGGCTTTGCAATAGACCTGACAAGCTCCGGGGGCCACACGGCAGGCCTGACAAGCTCAGTGACCAAAAGGAACCACAAGGGATGGTCTGGTCTGATCACAAATTCCTACCTGAGCAGGTCCTAGTGGGCAGTCAAGTCCCAGGCCTGTAGCTCCCTCAGCAAAGGTCAGTCTTTCCCTTAAGGGAGCCCTGTCCAATGCTCTTTTGCATGTAGGATAACATCCCTCTGAAGTGTCAGAGTAATTTTCTTTTTCTGCCCCTTGAAGGGACAACTGCAGGCAGCAGAGCAGAGAGCACAGTGCCCCTCGCTGTTATCTTGCTCCCCAAATACCATCCCTACGTGCTGTATATGGTCATTGTTAACTATCCTGTACCCACCAACGTAAAAGAAATGTTTCTCCACACAGGCTTTTGTCCAGTCCTAGAGATTTCCCCGCTTTGCTTTCTCCTGCCTCCCTAACCGATCAGCTGTGGATTTCAGGCACCTTCCTAAGTCTTCTCCTTGGATTCTGAAGTATAAAATAAGCTGCCATTCTCTGGAGCATTTTCTCAATCCGCTGAGATTTTGATTCTGAGCATGCCCACAAAATTTGTCTTAAATATAAATATCCCCTTCAACGCTCTTCTATAGGCCAGACTTTTGTCAACACTTAGCTCAGAATGTCTTACATGCCTCATTTCCCCTTCTGTATTGGACTCTCTCATGTATGTGGGGTTTCCATACATATGTAAGTAATTAAATTTGGTTATTTTCTCTTGTTAATTTGTCTCACGTAGATCTGCTCATTAGACCAGCTGAAAAAACTTAGAGGGATAAAGAAAATTTTGTTCCTCCCCCACAAGACCAAACTTGGACAAAGGTGTTACCCTATACACTTATCTTAAAGCATAAAATTTAAGACCTTCCAGTTTTCAGAGAAATATGGCTGTTTCAAATTGAAGAGCCTCACAATTTTCCATAATTTTTTCATAACCAAGAATAAATCTCAAAAATATTTCTCCTTCCACATTCCTAGGCTTTCACTATTGTTTCCACAAATATGAAGAACATAAACGAAGAGGCCATTAAATCAGAAATCTGTGAATATTTCACCCCCTGTTGCATCACTGGTTCTGCAATTGACAGATAAAACTCCAGAGTAGTTTGGGCAGGTGTGGGACAAAGTCATTCTTACATGTCAAGGGGTCCGCTGTGCAGATAGTATCAAAAGGCTCTGCACAATGTATTCAAAGAGAATGATAAGCTGGTACTAAACACCAATTTAAAAATACACTCAAACTGCTGGAGAATTTGCTCTTGTGAAACTAACTATACCTATTCCAGTAACATTTCTCCTCCGATTAACAAATTACAAGGACCAAGACTTTCCTCAGTGAAATATGTGCTAGAGTTAGACTCGTTGATCAGGTCAAACCTTGAGGTCTCGATGACCAGTTATCTGATCCCCAGATCCTGCCCCATGGCATTAATCCAGGGTCTATAGAACTACATGAGAGTGCTCCTTTCATTCTGAAGCAGGTAATGGGCTGGTTGGTCTCAAACTTACCGCATAATTCTTCTGTGTCAAGATTGCTGAAAAAATGAAAAAAAAAGTACTCCTTTAGTAATATTTTTAAATGGCTAAATACAGTTATCCTCCAATCTATATTATGTTAACAGATTGTAGATAATTATAATATTTCTATTATATTCTACATTGTTTAAAGTCAGTCATAAGTCCTAGCTAATCTCTTACAATAAGAACTCTAACACACTGACTGAGGTGGTTGCAGAGGCTCCTAGAACCAGCATAGTTCCATCTGCATATCAAGCAAAGTTCATAGATCAGATCTATTATGGCAATTTCTGCAGTTTCCATTTTGATGACAATAAAATGTCTGCTATTTTCTTGCTTTTTGAAGTATCAGGAGCAAGTTTAAGCACACAGTGAAATAATTGCTACTACAATTTCAGTGTTAAACCAAAAGCTGTTTTGTCATAATAACAAGCTTCAGAATTAGCTATCAGTGGCCAAATGTGGTCATTCATGTGGACAGCACACATACCCAAATAATACCCATTACAATGCCAGCTGCAAAACTGGTGGAATCATTCCAGTTCTGAAAGGTTATCTTATGTAAGTCCCATTAAAATCAAATACCATTTTGGTTCTGTTCAGTGTTACATTAAACCTGCATAAAGATAATAGGTGTCATTTAGCAGTAATTAAGGACATTTCACTTTCTGTTCAATTGGCCCAGCTTGATCTCTGATTCTCAGAATTTAGGATGTACCAGGGCACTGAATTCTGGAAAACTCTGTGGTCTCCTAGAAATTCACAGGAAGATGTAAGCCTTGCTTTGCTGGCTTTCAACAATCACTCAGGGGAAAATCCAATTTAAAAATAAGAACAGAGGTGACAATAAAGAAAAACTACCCTGCTGCTACTAGTAAACACCGTTGCTCATCTTGGAAAATTTTGTCTAAAACTTTTATCAGACTAGTTTTGATTTTTCATAAAGACAAAAAAAAAATGCAAGTCTCAAGAAAATCCCCCTAAAAAATCAAATTAAGGGAAAGCAGTTATACTTAAATGTTTTCTTATTGCCAAATATTACTTGAGATTAAACTGTTTTCATTTAAAAAGATAGTGCTGTACCTTGTTGTTTAAAAACAAATGCTTCAAAACCATTAGTTATTGTCTGCTTTGTGTGTGTGTGTGTATGTGTGTGTGTGTGTGTGTTTAGAACAAAGATAAACACCTGCCAGTCTAGCACCTACACTTATGAACTTCAACCTGAGGATGGGAAGCAGGGGAAATTATTTGTGCAAATTCTCAAAACACTGTGTCCCTCCACAGGTAGATTTCTAATTATCATTTTTTTTAATCTAAAGTTGATTAAAAATAGACTTCCAGAGAAACTTAAAAATAACATTAATCCATTACACCCGCCCATGAATGAGGCAGGGATGGTTCTGCTGGTACAGGCTCAGCTTCCTTCCTGGGACATGGACACCACTGCTCAAGGCTCTGCCACTTAGTCTGTTTTCCCCCCACTGAGAAGCTTTTAAGATCATAAAAGGGAATGAAGCATTCTATGCTGTGAAAACTTCTTTTTAAGCATTGGCAACTCGTTTTACATGTAAGTGCAGAACCATTAAATGATTGGTACAAAGAGAAATTCTTAATTTGGACATTTTTTTAATTGTGAATAGTTTCAAGGGAAAATTCAGAATGTCAAACTTGACAACTGTTGTTCCGGGTGAGATTGCAGCTTCCCAGAAGTGAGCCACTTATTACTTATTTAGTCATTTATGTATTCAACAAGTATTTATTTATCATTTACAGTGGACACCATGTGCCACGTATTACGTATAAATGGATGGAGATTACTTCCTATTTGTGGGGGACTGTCACCACCACTGCCTAAGTACATGCTGTATAACAGTTATAATCGTTGCCTTTCAAAGGAGCAACTTTCTGCCAAAGTGTCAAAAATAACAGGTGAAATTATATAACTAAGTGATACCTTGGGAAAGCATAAACTGTAATTATAGAAATTTGGAGAAAGAAGATGACTGGGGGGGGGGGAAGGTCAGTGAATACATCCTCTTAATAACAAGCAGGTGTTTACAGTGTTGCTAAATGTTGCAAAATGGGTTTTTACATTGGCTCCACTTTCAACCAATGAAATTAAGGTTTAATATAGAGCAGTAACCCTCTGCAGACCCTGCTTTAGGTGGACTTAGATGGACCTGATGCCTGGACAGCTTCACTTGGTAGAGGGGAGGGGACGGGCTTCTCAGGCAAAGGGTGAGGGTGGGGTGTGGGAAGCAGGCGTTACTGTTGCTGAGCTGCCATATGTCTGGACACTGAACTGGGCCCTGGGATTGATGGGAAGCAAAACAGTCACGGCTTCTAGGACAGGGCAGGTGAACATCAGTGAAATAAACACAGAACAAATACAAAACTACAGCTGATATAAGTGCGCAGAGAAGAGACACATACGGAGTGAGAGGTTTCACTTAACCAGGACTGTCAGAGACAGGCCTGTGTATGATTAATAAGCATGGAAAAAGATACAGAAGACCACACCTGCGGAGGAGGTAAAGACTGTGGGGAGTGGGACGGGGTGGACAGTGGGAAAGGAGAAGAAAGCCCCCCAAAAATTCTCTGTGTTTAAAACAGAAAGCACACATTAGAAGTATAATAACTAAACATTATTACTAATTATCTCGAGGTGGTGAAATCTTAGGCAGTTTATGCTGGTTTTTTATGATTTCCATATTGTTTGAAATCTTTTTACAATAAGCATGTGTTATTCATACAATTTTTACTGTAGAGAAAATATTTTCCTAAAGAAATTGCTTTTGAAAAACATTCATTTCAAAAGTAAGCAATGACTTTCAGGTTGTTTGTATTCTACATTTATTTCAAGAATTCTGAAGTCTCAAGGCATTGTAGAGAAAGACGATTATAACTGTTATACGGCATGTACTTAGGCAGTGGTGGTGACAGTAAACAGAATTAGGAGGACTGGGAAGATAAATAAGCCAGGACAAAGGACAGAATTGGGTGGTACACTGGACATGGGAGATGGGAGCGAGGAAGCTGTTCCAGAAGTGAGCACGTGTATTTTAAAAAGCTTGGTGTTAACATTTCACTAATTGGATTTCATCCACTTGGCAGATACCAGCGAGGTAAGAAAGCACACTGCATTTATGTGAATAAATAATTCACCTAGTTTCCTTGGTAGGCAATTTTTATTTTGAGCAGTAATTGACTTCAATTCACTATTTGCAAGTGTATTATGGTTGATGGGAAGGGAGAGTTCAGTTAAGATGAAAGAGAATCTAAGTTCTTTATTGAAGGAAAAAGATGACAGCCAGAAAATCATCCTCTAGATAAGATTATAAACATAAAAAGATCTGAACATTTTTTAAAGCAAAGGCCTTTAATATAAATAACGAAAGGAAACAGTGTAGCTGCGAGTGCCCCGAAGAACAATGGAGAAGATGAGGTGAACGCATAGCGATGGGATTGGAGGGCGGGCAGGGTACTGAGTCCAAGGGCAGAAGATGAACTCCAGATGGAAAGGCGGGCTGCAGGGAGGGAAATGTGCACAGAATGGAAATAATGTCCGCAGAGAGAAAGAATAGCATTGCTACATTGTAGCAACTCCCACACTGTAAAGTCCTACAGAATGGATATAAAAATAGAAGAGATAAAGGCAGCAATTAAAGCAATTACTGCTACACTCTGCATCCAGATATATTCGACTGCTGGAGAGAATTAACCACCTTTCATCAAGAATAATATACCTGCAAGTGATTTTAAAACCTGGCCTTGGACTATTTTGATTTCTGATCTATAAGCAAAGAGCTAAAAATGTGAAGTTTACTGAGATAGCATGACAATGCACAGTGTGCCGTTTCAGGTGGCCTTGAGACAAACCCAGGTCCTGACACACAGAATTTGGCCTGTCTACCATTTGTGTCAGACAAAATTGGAACCTTTTTTTTTTTTTTTTGGAATTATAACTAAGGAGAAACCATTTCAATGTCACTTGAAAAAAAATTCCCTTAAAATTCCCTCCTTTATAAGTCTCCAAAGTCTTCTAATCTTTTCCATTATAATGCAAGTTTTTGTTTGTTGATGCCTCTTTCTTCCCCCAGGGGATAAAGCTCACACTGACTTGGGGATGGGGTGGGATGGGGCTGCTTTCACAGGAATGAAAAGACATGTAAAAGGAACTCTGAGAAAATAGCCTGTTTTTTTCTCTCCACATGAGCTGGAGATGCTCAAAGAAAGTAAATGCATTTCAGAAATTATTGACGTGAAAGGCACATCCACAAAGTGAGTGAATGATGAGGACATTTGACAGCCATGAATTAGTTCTACTGGCCAAATAGTAACTGAAGACTGGTTATCGATTAGAGTGAGTCCTGGTAAGACTGTAAGACTTCTTGTTCTCAGTCTCTAAAAACTGGCAAAAGTGCATCTGCCGAGGATGTAATCCAACAGTGCTGCTCTTGGCCACGTGCACAGACAGTCTAATTTTTAAATTATTATTTAAAAAAAAATTTTTTTTAAATATCTTTATTGAAAGGAGAGGGAGAGAGAGAGATAGAAACATCAATGATGAGAGAGTCATTGATCGAGCCCGCAACCTGGGCATGTGCTCTGACCGGGAATTGAACCCCGATTGCCTGGATCTTAGGTCAACGCTCAACCGCTGAGCCACGCCCGGCCAGGCTTAAATCATTTTTTTAATCCTCCCCCAAGGAAGTTTTTCGTTGATTGCACAGAGAGGAAGGGACAGGGAGAGAGGGGGGGAAACATGGATGTGAGAGGAACATCGATCGGTCGTCTCCCGTACCCAACCCGACCAGGGATTAAAACCACAACCTAGGCACATGCCCTGACGGGGAATCGAACGCATGACCCTTCAGCATACGGGACGACACTCCAAACAACTGAGAGCACAGGCCGGGGCTAATGTTTAAATTCCTGATAAGTAGGGATAACGTGATACGTGAGAAGTACCCAGAGTATCCAAACCAGGTGGTGACTCTGGAGGGCTAGGGGCTGAGGACCAGGTGTCACTAAGCTGCACAGGCCCGGCCAGCCCCTGAAGGTGGGCGTCGGGCAGGACCACATGGAATGGCATCCCAGGCTTAATTCTAGTGATCAACAAGGAACACAGAAACACCAGGAAGGGAGCGGGCGCAGGGCGCTAGGACCAATTTAAAAGGAACTCTGAGAAAACAGCCTGTTTGCCTGATACAACAAAGGTTTCCCTGGGCTACAATCTTTTCCATTACAGAGCCTCACGCTTTCCTGATCAACCAGACCCCACGCTCAGAGTTCCCCTGAGCAACAACTCCACCAAGCCCCTCATTGCCTTGGGGAAGCTGACCATCTGCCTCTAAAACATGAGGGGCAGAGGGGAGTCTCTGAGGCCTCGTACACAATTATCTGATCTGCAGGGGACTCAGGTTTCGCTTGCCCAGCATCTATTCCCCCTTATTCTGATAACAGCATCTTGGTTCCCATCTACATTATGTTTCCCTAGGTGAGCACTGGGAAGCTCAGAATTCATGGGTGAGCATTAGGGAAGCTCAGAATTCATGGGTGAGCATTAGGGAGCTCAGAAATGACGGGTGATCATTGGGAAGCTCAGAATGATGGGTGAGCACTGGGAAGCTCAGAATAATGGGTGAGCACTGGGAAGCTCAGAATGATGGGTGAGCACTGGGAA